AACGACACCTGGGAGTTCGACGTCGCCGCGGGGCGGTGGGCCAAGCTCCCCTGCGCCCCCCTCCCCGTCTCCCCCGCGGTGGCCCACCCTGGCGAGTCGAGCAAGCCCCTCGCCGGCCCCCACGACACGTTTATCGTGGAGTATATGAATAGCCTGCGGTGGAATGGCGGGATGATTCAACGCTCGCCTCGTACGGCGCCGCGGGTCGCACCGCACCCTCGGCCTTCGACCATGCCGCCCTGCGCCTTTGGTCAGGCGGGCGCGCTCTATCACGACGAGCAGGGGGAGGTCTGCATGTTCGTCATGGGCGGGATTCAGGGCGAAAACGAAGACTACTCCGGCGATGCCTACACCCTAAACCTCAAAACACTGACATGGGAAGAGCTTCCCCTGACGCTGCAGCTGCCGAGGATGTGGGGAAGCGTGGCCCAGACGCTCTTTGCAAACGACGCGGATCCGGTGGGGGAGGAGGTGGTGGTGTTGTTTGGGGGGATGGCGGGCAATATCCCCGTCGGCACCACCTACCTCCTCCACCTCTCGCATCGCCTCACCGCCGAGGAGGTCTTTGGTCGGCCCGATTTTTACCTCCAAACCACCGGTTTCGACGTCGAGGGGTTACTGAGGAAGTACACCGTGGAAAACGGACTGAATTTCTACCGGGAGTGGACGGTTGGCAAGTGGCCCGAGCGGTACAAAGACGTCGTGGAGCACTGGAAGACTCACTGGCTGTGCAATCTTGTTGGGCGCTATCACGTTGAGGTGATTCCTTGCTCTGACGCAACCCCTTCCGGCCGCCGCCGAGCATCGTCGGCGGTGTTTTCCCGCCATTTTATGTTCATCTTCGGCGGGCGCGACGACTTCGGCTACTACAACGACTTCTGGGTCTTTAACGCAATCACGCGGATGTGGGTCCAGCTGCGCGAGGAGGCTCAGACGGTGTGGGTGCAAAAGTTCTTTCACAATCCGTCGGACCCGATGCCAGGCCGGATACTCCAAAGTATCCTCGCGGAGGTCCGGCGGCGGAAGGTGCGGTGGATCCGAGAGAACTGCCAGGGCGTGCTGTTTGCGCGCCAAAACGAGCACCACACCTTCCACGCCTGCCCGGAGAATAGCTCGGTGGAGAGCCGGACCGGCTCCTGCATGGCGGTCGACGTCCGCCGCCGCTGCGTTTACATTTTCGGCGGCTTCACGCAGACCAAAGGTGTCCACCTCACTTTCGCGGACCTCCACGCGTACTACATCGACTGGCATCTCTGGCGGTGTGTGGAGGTGGGGGGCCGGCGGCCGTGGGAGGCCCACCTGGACGCCAGTGATGACGTCGTGCGGTATAGCGACCCCCTTCGAGACCTCGGCGTGGGGACGCCTGAGGGGTCTTCTGAAAGGGACGAGGAACGCCACGACTACACCGTCGACCCCGGCCCGCTCATCCCGCTCCTGCGCACCGCCCTGGTCGCGCCCTCCGCGCCCTGTTTTAGCCATCACCTCCGCGGCGAAGACCGAAAAGGGCAGGAAAGCGCGAGCCTCCATGCCCTACGAAGGGTGCACGAGGAGGAGGCTGAGGTGGCGCGTCAGACAGGGCTGATCGCGCCGCGCG